ACCACAGACCTCCACTTTCAAGAAAGGCTGTCAAGAACACATTGTGGGAATTACTGAAAAAAGTAAGGGTCTTCTTGACCAAGTATCTCGACCACAAAGATATAATTTCTTCAAAAGGATATCATTAACTGCCCTAAATACTGATTCTGACAACATACTTGTTTTAAATAGATATTTTTAAAAAGTCAATGAAACATTTAAATATTTTTCTTTCTCCAGGAAGAAAGTAGATAGGTAAATGAGATTAATACCCTAGCAAGATCTCAGATAGTGTCTTTGGCACTGCATCAGGAAGATAAAAGAACCCTAAACCCTTCACCAGTTCCATGGGTTTTCCAGTATACAGCAAGTAAAACAAAGTCATAATTTCTTTTTTTTTTTTTTTTTTTTTTTTTTTTTTTTTTTTTTTTGTTTTTTGTCTTTTTCCGTGTCCGGCAACGGATCGCAACCCTCAGTGTTGCCCCCGTACCGGACCGGGGACCGGCAACGGGATCGCAACCCTCGGCGTTGCTCCCGCGCCTCGCTCAGCCAGTGAGCGGAAACCGGTCTGCATGTGGGATCCGAACCCTCGGGCGGGAGCGCCGCCGCGCTTCCCAAGCGGCGCACTTATCCAGTGCACCACCGGGCCGGCCCCAAAGTCATAATTTCTAAGGGGAAATAATGTTCCAGTTAACTATAACATCTGTTTTAGTTTTCCTAAAGTGTCTGATTACCCTCCACCCAGTCAAGCGTGTACATGTGAATAGGTCCAAACTGAAGAGACAACTGAACCTCAGCTTGCTCCCTCTGACCAATTACTACCACTATTGATGCAGCAGGATGTGTGAGGTACATCTCTGACAGCCATATCATCAGCAACTGGGCACCATAACAGGGCCATGTTGTCAGCATTTTTCATTGGTTCTACGGCCCAACTTGGAGTTCAGCTTGCTTCCCCTTTCCAAAGTCTTAATTTCACAAGGTAAGATTTATAACCATAGAGAAAAAGACCACCAAATGCTTTCGCAGCCCTACCACCTGCTGAAATTTCCTTAGAATTTCAGCCTTTTAGAATAAGATTGAAGCCTGTTATATTACAAATACCTCAGGGAAGTATTCCATTACTTATCGTTTGTTACTCATTTATATCCCCAACATAACCTAAGCTCCTTGGGAACTTTGTCTCTATCACTATCTCCAGTGCCCAGAGAGACTTTGTCTCTCTCTACCACTATCTCCAGCGCGCAGCACAGAGCTCAAAACATAGGGTGTTAGATACTTGGTAAACGTTTGTAGAATTAATGAGGATTAATAGTAAGATGTGTAAACTCATTTTTGCCTTAGTGTGAATGAATTTCTTCAGGGCCTTTCCTGAGAAATTTGGATGGATCACACATTATGTAAGAAGTGTTTAAAAAGTCCTAAAGAGAAGTGAGCCTAAGAAAGGCTCCTCTTCAGTTCTGCCTAGAAATGTTGTTCTGCTATGGATCAATCTAAAGGAACATGGTTCTTCAAAGGAAAACCCAGACTTTTGCTTGAATGCCCTATGAAAGTATCTTGTTTCTCTGTGGAAGTCTCTCTATACTTCAAAAATCTATTTCAATGAGTCATTAATAATTGGCAATTGTTTATTAAACTCAAGGTGAGATCAAGAGACAGGGGCTTCAATCTTTCAGACTTCTTTCTAACCCCAGAATGCCTAGTAGAGTATTCAACCAATCACTAATGTTTGAATTAATCAACAACGTAAAGAACATTGGAGTCGCAGAATGTTATCTAGCCAATGCAATAGGATCAGTGGTTAAAAACCCAGGTCTTGGAGTTTCAGATAAACCTGGAGTTAAATTCTGGCTTCACTGCTTGCCTAAACTCTGTAAGCCTAAGTTTCCATATCCGAAAAGAAAGACATTAATAAAGCCTATCTCATGGAGTTGCCATAAAGTTTAAATAGAAATGCATGTAAAGTGCTTAGCCATAAGTACTCAAGAAATGTGCACCATAATTTGGAGACCTAGGTTCCCATTCCATTCTACTTCCTGTGTATCTTTGCGCTAATCACTATAAAGAAGCTAATGAAAACAAGGAGACAGAACTTACTGACCTCTAATACTAGGATTTTATGAATCATAAATAAGGTAAACAGAAAACAGACGAAAGCTTTGAAAAATAAAAGCCTTAAACAAATTCCAGATATGTTTTGTGTTGTACTTGAAGCTTGCATATGTTTGATCACAGATGACTCAGCATTAGAATATCAAAATGAAAAGGCCTGACCAGTCAAACTTCAAAGCAGGTATTCTCAGATACTTCAGTGCCTGTTGTAGATGATGGACTTTATGAAACATGTGTGTACATGCATATACACACACAGAGGGAGAAAGGGGTGCAGGAGAAAGAGGGGGAAAAGAGGGAGAGAAAGATCTCAACAATAACTGGCTTAAAGACTACCTTGTAACCATCTTTTTCACAGCTGAGGTTAAATCTGTTTGCTTCCTCAACCCTTAAAATGTATCAGTTATATATGTATTACCTTGTGCCCCAATAGCAATTTTTCAATCTAGCTGCTGTGTTATACAGAGCAATTGTAAGTGCATAGGGGCCCTTTCTAGGAATTAGACAAAGGGCACCCCAGAGCACAGGCTGGTTTTCAGCCCCCCATTACCCCTGAGTCGGTCACCCTTGTGCAAGAGCACAACCATACATGGCAGTCATACAGATAAGCACAAAGATCTTCATACATTTAACTGACATACCTATACTACTGTTACACAGATATACAAACATACACACACATACACAAACATGACTGAAAGGACAAGGATTGAACTAAGTAGAGAAAGATATTCATCAAAACTGAAAACAACAACAACAACAACAACAAAAAAAAAAAAACCCTGAAAATAGAGTTCAGAGACAAACCAGGTTCCTCTCCTCTCCCTCACCTTCAGCTACCCAGTGTTGGGAGACTATAGCCAATTGGAACTTTGGGGAAGGGTATTAGGCAGAGGCTTTGACACTGCAAAATTCTGATTTCTGGCAAAACTATGGTCTCTTTCCAACAGTTCTCTCTCTCAAGAAAGGGAAGAAGGGAGAGAGAAAGGGAAGGAAGGACCCAGAGACATCAATGGATCTACTCACCTGGGTTTGCAAAATCAATAGTAAACAAAAGACTGCTGGTGTTTTGACAGTATTAAAAATCTGTAATCCCAGGCAAGAATATTCTAAATGCTACAGGAACTAATCTTAAAATGTTAATTGTCGGGCTGGCCCCGTAGCTCACTCGGGAGAGTGTGGCGCTGGTGGCGCCGAGGCCGCAGGTTCGGATCCTATATGGGGATGGCCGGTGCGCTCAGGTGCAGACCACACCATGCGATGTTAACTGTCAACTTTGTCTCCTTCTTGAGATTTTTCCTCCCAAATACCCATATAGAAAAGACATTTAAAAAAATTTTTTTTACTATTGTGTAGATATATGTATATCTACCCTGCTAAACTTTACAATGGTTTGTAAAGTTTAAAAACTGATGTTATTACATTTTTAACACTTTTGTACCTAGTCCTTTGACCTGCATAACAGCTTCAACAGCTGTTTAAGAAACAGAAATTCCAGGTTAAATATGGACCTTATTCACATTCACAAGGAGACAGTGCAGAATACTCATTGCAGCATTGTTTATAATAAGTTTGGAAACAATCTAAATGTCCATTAGAGGGAGAATACATGAATAAAGTATAATATATTCATACAATGGAAAACCTTACAGGTTAAAATGGAAAGAATTTGAGCTACCAGCTCAAACTGAGGTACTATGTGGATAAGTCACAAAGATGCAGAATAGAAAAAAAGCAAGTTGCAGAACGATACAAATAGTGTGATACTATTTATATAAGGTTTTAAAACCCACAACATTGCTCAGCATTATCTTTGCCTTAAAGTTGTTATCACAGTCCTGCTTATTCCTTGTATGCACACTAAAGACCTAAGGAATATTCACTCTAAAAATAATAGAAAACTAAGATTATTAATAATAGAGGGGGAAATGACTATTAATTATATTAAGTCCCCAAATGTCAGGGTGGGGGCCTGATTTAGTAATGGAAATCACGTAGCCCTTGAGGTCAAATGATGTGTTCTCTCTCCATTCTGCTACTCGCCAAGACGCTTTATTTCACTGAGCTTCAGTTTTCTCACCTAAATGGGGTTGACAACACCCGCCTTGCAGAATGAAACGAAATAACTTATGTAAAGGTGTTCTACAGAAGGTCTTAGAACCTAAGAACTTGTCTTTTACCTAATCACTCAAAAGTAGTCACACATGAACGCTCTACAGGGTAAAAATGCTGAGTCTGCATCTAATTTATTATAATAGTAAAAAAAATGTCAAAGAACGCAACAGGAAGGGGCAACCCCTCACCTTCCTCTTGCCAGTCCCTGATCCGGCTGCCTCCTATGCTTTCTATATTTAGCACAGAGTAGGGGAGGAAAAAAAAGGGCACAAAACCTTGGCTCTTGCCGGGCTCCCTTCGGAACTCCCCGTGACCTTGGGATAAATCTTTCATCTCGCCAAACTCCCGCCCCTCCCTCCCCCCAACATATACACCCCCCCTCCGTAGCCCTGGAGGCAGATGAACAACAACCCAACCGTCATGGTCACGAAGGGGACCGTAAAAATGACAGTGTGATATTGCTGGGGTTGGAAGGTTCTGTTTGTTTTCAAACGTTAAGAGGAAAGTCTACTGCGACTACTCGCGCCTACTCTGAAGAGGGGAAAGGAGCAAGACAAGGGCAAATAAGTTCTGCGACTCCTTTCCAGACACACAGTCCCCGCATCTGGATTCCACACAAAGACAGGCACGCCGAGGCCCCGGAGTGGCAGGCTCCGACCGCAACTGAAGAGACCCAGCACTCACACCCTCCGGCGCAAGGGGACCCACGACGCGCACAGGGGCGCGGACACACATAGAGACCCTGCACGCGAGATGCACTCGGGCCCCCGGGCTGGCCGCGGCGCCTCCCTCACCTGTCTTGAAGACCATCTTGTCGTCGTCCTTGGACCCGAAGGTCTCCAGCATGGACACGAAGAGCAGCCCGCAGGTGTTCTGGATGCCGAACACCGACCCGTTGCACCACATGGCCGCCAGCATCACCAGCCAGCCCCAGCCGCCCTCGGGGGGCTCAGGAGGCTCCGCGTCCGCCGACCCCGCCAGCTCCACCTCCACCTTCTCGGCGGCCGCCTCGGGGCTGTCAGAGGGTCCCGGGCCGGGCAGCGGAGTGGCCCCCGTGGGTGCGGGGCCGAGCGGCTGCGCCTCGCTCGTCCCCCGCGCGGCGGCGGTGGGCTCCTCCTGGGAGGGCATCATGGCCCGAGGCAGCACCCTCCGGCCCCGGCGGAGCGCGAGGGGCACGAGTTCCCGGCGGGCTCGCAGAGGAGCTGCGGACCGGTGGGCGGGCTAAGAAGGCCGAGGTGAGGGCGGTGGAGCCCCCGGCGGGCCGGCGGGCGAGCGGCTGGG